GTGTCCAGCGAGTTAGCAGGGGAGGCAGGCCGGTGATCGATAAGAACGGGGAGCCTGTATACCAGCCGAGCCTCATAGTCGTCAAAGAGCTCATCGGGAGCGAGGACCCCGTTAAATACTTGGGTATTTATGTTTTAAACAATAGTATGTGGTTGTCATTTATTAGACTCCTCGTTTACTAACCATGTTCCTTTTTGTTTGTTTTGTAGATAGCATGAATCCTGCCCAGGAGTACATAGCCAAGACTCTTGCTGCTAGAGCGAGGAAGGCTCAAAAGGATACACAGACAGGCTCAGAGGTTGCTCCTACCTTACAGTCGAGCGACTCGTCTTCGTCCTAAGCTACGTTCTCTCTTTCTCCTATCGCTGTTTCCTCGAAAGTGAAGAGGCCGCGTCCCGAGGGAAGCGTCGACCCGACTGGGGAAAAGGGGAAGAGGACATACGACCTTCCCCCATTCTGGCTAGAGAAGGATTTCTTCGAGGTTACAACTCTCCGTCTTCCCCGATTCAAATCCCTTCATCTCGAGGGATTGGGCCGCCTGGAGAAGTGGACGATGCTGGCGCAAGATGCCGGTGGTTTGATGAGGATCCTGGAGATGGTTGTCGCCTATACTGAGGGAAGTTCCTCCCAGGAGGATGAGCTGAAGAATCTTTGGGCCAAGCTGGCTATGAGTGAGAAGGCCCGAATCGAGGAAGAAAAGGCCCAGAAGCTATCTGACGAAGAATCAGGGAGGCTCTCTAAGGAACACATGGCCCTCTTACTCGAGAAGAAAGACCTTGAGGAAAAGGTGGTGTCCCTGACTGCTGCGGTTATGCCCACAAAAGAAGAGCCGGAGGACACCAAAGATTTGAAGACTCAGGTTGAGCTTGTTACCCATTTTCAATTGGCAGTGGATGGCACCCAGGCTGCTTCTGAGGGGAGCTTTGAAAATGCTGTAAAGGAGATGCACGTGTTGAACCCTGGTGTCGAACTAAACACTTCAGGAATGGGGTTCAACTATTACATGGCTGCTAGTAAGATTCCGGTCCCCGACTATTTCAAGGAGTTCGTTGCTCAGCCCGCTGGGGGTCCTGCCCAATTGTCGCTTGTTGCTGAAGAGGAAGCTGAAGGATGATTATTCTATTTATTCCAGCCTGTGTGCTGTATTGTTGTATTTTTATTTCTCCGGGTTTTTTCCCGTTTATGTAATTTTCGAACAAGTGTGGTCTCTGGCCACAAATTTATTATTTTTTTGGATGGGGCGTTAAAAGACTCTTTATTTTAATATTCGCACACTAGAGGCCCAAGTGGTCGTTTCGTTTAGTTTTCCGGCCATGATAATCATTTGTTTCAAATATTTAACTTGTGTTGTTTGCATGGGCCCAATCTAATCCTTTCTTTTTGTATGACCTGCACGTCCATGAGTTGAAGCCTATCTACATAACTTAGAAGCTTGGTGCTCTAATGTTTCACACGCATCACAATCTTATCGATTAAGCTCGTGTAGTGATGTATAGAAAGATTTTTGATTGTGAGAGGTAAACCAAGATACCTAAAAGGAAGAGGACCCTCGATTAAAGAAGTTGTCTCTTTTATCTCAGTTTTGACATTATCTTCAATACCACCAAAACAAGCCTTGCATTTAGATGAGTTCACATACATCCCCGTTTCATGGACTTTTCTCAGTTTTCGCAGACTTCTATGCAAATACTTCATAACAATCACAAACATCAAAGGTGAGATAGGATCCCCTTGTCTCAACCCCCTCTTAGCTTTCATAAACCTAGTCCTCTCTTCTCCAATATTGAACTTGTAGGATGTTGTTGTTAAAACCACCATAAGCCATCTTACGAACTTGTTTGGAAAGCCAGTCTCTTTCAAGGTTTTCTCCAAAGGCAACCAGTTCAATGTATCATAAGCTTTATGAATGTCCAGCTGCAACATATACCTTGGAGTTCCTCCTTTCCTACTATATCCTCTAATCAGTTCATAGGCAAGCAGAATGTGATCACGGATATTTTGGCAAGGTACCACAATTGATTGACTTTGGTTAATAATGTTACTCATCACACATCCCATTCTCCTAGTCAGTATTTTAGAGATTATCATACAAGCCTTTTATTGTAAGACATTAAATAGGATTGAACGCATTTATTTTTCTTTAATTTTTTTTTAGGTAGATTATGGCGTGGTATTTTTTTCTAATTGTAAAGGTGACATATGTTAGGTTTTTCTTATCTATAATAGTTCATCTTTCTATTAGTCAATGATAAGATAATTTATTAATAAAGAAATGATAACTTGTGTCAGAAGGACTGCCAATGATACAAATAGAAATTCAACAATAATAGAAACACCACAACCAACAGAACTACAAAACAATCCAAATAATGCAGGGAGAGAAAACGTCGAAACAACTAAAGACCTACCATGAAAGATTCAGATTAAATCCCATACCATCAAAATCATTGTTAAGAGTGCCACATCGAATAATGTATGACTTGAACATGTCTTTATAAGTCGGGTCAATCCTCGTCCTACAAGCCAATATTTTAGGATTAAGTTAGAGCCGACCATATTTCTTAACAACTACCATCAACAAATCAAAATCCATCAATAGAGCAACAAAACCATAAACTAGTACCTACCTCAGAACCAATGAAAATACTCGATTTACTATTAGTTAAGGTAGATGATAGGGTTCTGAAGTCAGTTAAAGAAAGTGCACGAGTTCACCCCTGATCTACATATAAACTATTTTCAAGCCAAAAAACTCTCCTCCCCCACCTTTTTCACTATTTTTGAAACACCTTTAAATATGATATAATTACAGACTCTCCAAATGCTCCAGAATACATCGTGCCAAATCATAACAAAATTACCTCTAGACTTGGACGTATCTTCTAAAGAAAGGAAAACTTAAACAAAAGCTTATGGTCATTAGGAAGAAACACTTGCAAAGTCAACCACTGAAAGATCATATACCATACAAATAACGCTAACTCACAAGTAGCAAAACGATGAGAAACCAAATCAACTGAAAATCCTCATAGAAATGGTAGGAGATCCCACTCGAATCGGTATTCACCCCCTTTTAGACAGATTATCTCTAGAAGGAAATCTATTTTACAAAAGCCAGTGGGAGAAAAGCAAATCTTTAAAGAAGAGTTCAGGTAACCTAAATAAGGAAAGAGTCAAGTTCTCAGTCGTAAGAGGTGGCGAAGAAGTAGCCAATTGAACATGATAAGAAGAGGCGCCTTAGAAAAATATCCTTACTTGTATGCTTCCAAATCCAGTTATCTCAATCTTAAGAGAGAATAACATCTCAGAGAAGAGAGAGAAAATTTTCAAACACATGTAACTCTCTAAAGTAAGAAGACTATCCTCCACCTAAGATCGTAGACTATGTCCCCATTACCCACTAGTTCGATCTCTCTCACCATCCCATATGATTGAATGGAGTTAGAAAATACACTTGGGAACATAAACTGTAAAGGAATGAGTCCTAACTAAGGATCCTTCAACAAGGAAGTCTGAAGGCCCAATCATATTTTATTAAGAGTATCATCTTTGAACCCTAAAAAGGACACACCTATCCACTTAGTAGAAGTAGATTATAATCTCAAAATTTTCCCCACTCGAAGAGAGAAAAGGACTGAAACATCATACCTAACTACATGAACATCCCAGAACCTACGTAAAGCACCTAGAAGCAACATACATCCCCATCTATTAGTTGGATATCAAAAATACATTTTAACATTGTAATTTAGTTGAGAATGTCTATACGGAGCAACCACCAGAATTTACTGTTGAGGAGGAGTCTCGTAATTTTGTTTAGGTGTTGTCTACCGTGATAGGTCTCTCACGTGAGTGATCAACATTTTTGCTGTATTTTTTTTTGTTTACAACCATTTAGCGGCGGTTTTAAACCATCACAAAATTTCAGAATTTATTAAGCGGCGGTTTTAAACAATTACACGATTTCAGAATTTAATTAGCGGCGGTTTCAAACTGCCACAAAGTGATTGAAAACAAAAAAATAGAAAAATACTGCTCGTTTACTGTCTCTCATGATAGACCACGTCTTTTGTTTATAGGCTTCAAAGTGTTTTATATGGGCCAAAACAAAGTCCTAGAATATAGTTTGTTAGTCCTAGACCGTAAGATTCAGTTTAATAAATGAGAAAATTAGTTGTATTTCTAAAAACTTACTATTTGAGTTTAAAACTTACATAATACAAATATAAATTCAAGCATAGTACATCACGTGGCTTAGACCATTTTTAATTTATTCAACAACATCTCCGACACTAATTATAGGAATTTATGCAAAGTATATACTTATAATAATTAATTATGCTTTAACCAAATCAGATTAATATACTAATTATCCAATAAGCATGGCAATTAGACTGTTGAATAAAATATTTACACATCAATGTAGAGACTGGGATGTTATATATATTTAATTCATTCATTCCAAGTTTCCATCTCTGTCATGAAATTGATAGCTATAAATGGTTGGTTGCTGTGCTTTGCTAGCTGTAGCTGTAGCTGTTACGTAATTATAACTCCAATCTCTAAGTCAACCATATGTTACTAACAAAAATATCACTAATTACTAAGTCAAAGGATATTAATAATATTCATACAATAAAGGTTAATTTTAATTTTTTTATGATAGATGATATAGACACTATATAATAACTCATTCATAATTTAATAGTAACAAATTTTATTCATTACAAAAATAAATAATACAAAGGACTAATTATAACTTCTAAGAACTTGCTTAACTTAATTAAGCAAGCAAACAAGCGATTCATACACTTCAATTCAATATTCATCTTTATCTTTATATTATGTGCTTTAAAAAGAATTTACCAAAATGGTCTCAACCATTTGAAAAAAAGACTTATTTTTTCGTCTTAATCTTTTGATGACAAAGAGGAAATCTTAACGATCTGACTTCAGTCGATTCTCTTGAAGATTCGACCTTAAAAAGACTATATAATCAATTAGATTTCAATATCCTTTATGTCTTTGTTATTCATAAAATCTCGAATTCTTTTGAGCGCGATTTCAAGGGTTTGTTCACTCATATTTGCGAAACAAACTCTAAACCAACCTGGTTCAGAACAATGACAAGAACACCCTGGTGAAATATTGAGTTTAACTTCATTCAAAATCGAATTCCAAAGCTTCAATTCACCGTCTCTAGTATTATTTTCTAACATCGGACTCATATTCATCCAACAAAATAACCCGGCATTACCTTTCAAACATTCGATTCCAGCACTTTTCAAACCTTGAATAATCATTTCATATCTTTTTCTTAGTCTTTCTCGATTTATCTTAATATAATTATCGGCAAAATTTTCATCCGATAACATTGATGCTAAAAGATGTTGTGTCTGAGAAGATATCAATGTGAAACTCGACATTCTTCTAGCTGTCGTAACAACTCTATCGTTATACGAATAAATTGTTCCGACTCTAAAACCAGGTAGACCAAGATCTTTTGAAAGACTATAAACAATGTGAACTCTTTCCGCATCCTTATATTGACGAGACTCGAGAATTTCTGCCACGCTTACGAACTCATGTGAAGAAAAAACCGAGCCCGAATAGATTTCGTCCGAGACAAGATGCATATTCTTTCGAATCACAAAGTCGAGAATGTCTTCAAGAACCGAACGTTGAATTGTAATGCCTAATGGATTTGATGGGTTGGTTATTAGTACCGCTTTTACTTTCATGTTCATTGTTTCAGCATTTTTGTACGCAGATTCTAATGCTTCAAGTGTGATTTGAAAATTGTTTGAACTATCACAATGGATTGGAACTATATTTACACCCGTTCTCCATCTTAAATCTCTATCAAATCTGCAAATAAAAAAAAAATACATTAGTATAATTTATTAATTATCATATAGTGCTTGCAAGTTCCAAAAAATATGTGACATATTTAAACAATATTATAGTAAGAGAAGTATATAAAAGTGATTATTTCTCTAGTGCAAAAATGATTAAAAAAAGTGATTATTTCTCACCCTGGATAATATGGAGTTGGAACAAGTAAAGCATCTCCAGGATTTGCAAGAATGAATGTTAAGAGTTCATTTGCAGCAGTTGCACCAGCAGTGAGGACAATTCTTTCATAATCAAATTTTGCTTTATTTCCTCTTATTTTTTCCATGAAACTTGCCATTGCTTTTCTGAATGATTTAAGTCCATGATAATCTTGAAATAATGCATTTTCTCTGAAACTACAACCTCCTTTTCCCCATGTCAATGCATCTGAGTTTTCTTCTAAATATTTTTCAAGTAAATCAAATGACACCTAAAAAAAATTTTAAAAAAATATTAGTTAACTTGCTCAAAAATTATTTCTTGCATGCTTTTCTTTTTGCAATGAAATATAAACAAAAATATAAATATAAAAAATATATATATTTAATCTAAATATAGATTAAATATATATATTTTTTATTTATATCATGAACGAACACTGATATGTGTCGAATAGTGAATATGTTTTTGATATTTATACACTTACTTGATTTTCTGCCAATCCCATTTGTATAACTCCGGATGAATTAGATAATTCATGATAAGGATCTTCATCATAAGCTTTCCAACCAGCAAAATATGGAGAATTTTCTCCATGAGTTTCAGAAGTTGCAATACTTGAAAGTTCAACACAAGGGTGGTTTTGTTCAATCTCAATACCCATTCTAACTAGCTTTCTATAAGGAGAAGAAGAATGAAAAGCTAGTTAGAGAGAGGAGGGTGAGAGAGAGAGAGTTGAATGAAGTGTTTGTGTAAAGTTTCTCTCTATATATAGGCTTTGAGGCTTAGAAGGAAAAATGGTCCCTTTTCAACTTGGTTGGCTTGTTCAGAACAAATAATGTAGAAAAATGTATATATTATAAATTATTGATTCTATAGTGTAAGCATATCAAAACTTTATGTTGCTAATTGTGACAACTATGACAGATCCGCATAGAAATTATACGGCGGTTGTTTGGATAGTCTCTTAGTTTTGTAAAAACTCGAGTTTGAATTTTGTTGTCGATGTAAATATTATTGTGAATGTTTTGTCACTGTTATTCAGATGAATTTCTGAGACTTAATTTGTTTTTCTTTTTAAAGAAAATTTGGATGAAAGATTTTCTTATAATTTTGGTTTATGGAGTAGATGGTTTGTAATACTACTCATAGTTTTTTTTGTGTGGTTTAATTAAAATATGGTTTTTGTACTAGTTTATTATATTGACAAGTGGTTGAGTTTGGGAAAAATATTGTATTATTCTCAACCTACGACTAATCAAATCCCTTGCCAAATAAACACCAAAAATTCCAATGTGGAATCCAAATCATGAATTAAGATCTGAAATGGGTTTTTATGATATAAGAAAGAATTGGAGCAAATTCTAGCTAGGAGTAGTTAAGTTTTGATGACCTGACAAAGATACCAAGTAACCCAAAAGATAGATTATGATTCTGATTTTGCAAGAAGAAAGAACATCTTGGGATATCTTGTGGGTCCACTTTTGCTTCAATACCAAACAACAAAATTCATCAACAATGAGTTTTGTGAAGTTTAAAGCAATCATCTTCTTTCTTTCAAAGATTGAAATTATACGATGAAGGAGCACAACGAGTACTCCAATTCGACACGAATCAACGACGAAGGAGCACAACGAGTACTCCAATCTAATACGAATAATTTCTATATGATTCTTTTTTGGGTGTAACCAAAAGTTAACCCAACCATCACATTTAAAGTTTGTAGCCATAACTAATCTAATTGTGCTTCGCCTTGTTTTGATTGGTCGTTTACTTGTGCACTTCCTAAATATTTGGAGCGCCATTTTTTCTTTGGTGACAAAATTATAGGCAATTTAGATGTAAACTTATTTGAGGAGTAATGAACTACTAAATATATATAATTGAAACTCAATTTGCATTATTGTAGGAGACTAACTTCTTCGACTATATCTCCCATTGGAGAAATAATAAGCGGCCAATTAACCTATATAATATGGATTTCATCAATAATAATTACAATTTTTTTATAAATTGAATGTCATCTGCATGTAATTATTGAAAGTAATTTCTTGTGTCGAAGTCGTTTATTCGATAGAGACAAGTGAATATCGAAAAAATTTGATTTGATTTGATTTAAAAGTTTGAAAACAATTTGTTACACACCATTTATTTTAGATCTAGATATATTTGATTTAGATCTAAAATAGAATAGATTTGATTTAGTTCCAAAATAGGTATTTTGGGCTTTTATAGTTTTGGGCTTTGGCTTAGGGAGCAAGCTAACTTAAATCTATAAATAAATGGAGTAACCCCTGTTTTTGTAATCAAGTCAATTAGTTGTATTTACAGAATTTGCAGTTGCAAGTTGTAATACGGTGGGAGAACTGACTTGTTTTGCATTTTATCGCAAATATTGCGAATAGCGAGAGTCGCCACCAACTTTTCTTTTATCCAATAAGGAAAGAGTGAAAAGAACAGGAAAGACCTTGAGATTATTGAGTTTGGGGGTAGGTTATGAAAAGGGAAGGTGTAAGCACCCTTTTCATCCGTAATTATCTACGGGCTCTTAATCGCTTATCTCACTTTCTTTTGAAAATTTGCTTTGTGGATGTGTTTGTTTGAAAATATTTTGAGAAAATGCCTAAGTACGACAACTTTGTAATGACTCTTGTATCAGTTAAGAATGCGTACAAAATATTTGTTTTTTGAAAATATTTCAGAAAAAAGTGTTTGTGAAAAAAAGATGTTTTTGGTGAGCAAGCGATTACGAGTGATCTACCTACTCAAAATCTTTCTTGTTATTTTCCTCCTCCTTTAGATAGTGCTATCCTACCACTAGTTAGTAGGAAGCCATATCGTTGGATGTGTGAGGGACAGGCGCCGATCGTCGTTATGATCATAGAAGGCAACATATAGGGATACCTTAGCAATTCAAAGGGACCGTCATCATATATTCGTAGGCATCATCGAGGGACAAGATCATTTCTCATAGGAAACTCGAGGGACATCGCGGGACTATGATCTTTATGATGATTTTAACTTAGGGTCTTTGGTAAGGGTATCTCTACGTTCGAGAGGCATGACCATTTTTCGAGGCAACGAGTGAGGTTACCTTAGAGGTGCATGTGTGAGTGGTGATTCAATTCAGTTATTTATCTTGATTAGGGTTAGCTATTGATTTTTTTTAGATCTTGCCATACATGCCCAGTTACTATACAATTATATATACATACATGCATACATAGTATAAGTGCGGAAAGTAAAGTGCGGACAATAAAAATCCTACGCTATTACAAGGCTTCGGGAGCGGGGGTACAATCAATAAAATCGGGGGGAAATGTAGTAAACCCTAATTAAAACTATTACATACCGTAGCAGTTACATAATCAGAAAAATAATAAAAATAATAAAGTACGCGAAGATTGTAAAATAAAGGGAAAAAGAAAATTGTTTTGTGATTGTATGATGAAATTTTTTTGATAATCAACCTAAAGTCTAATAAATTTTTATTGATTAAGAAAAGTTAGGTAATTAAATTAACCAAACCCTAAAATCTAGGTTGATTTTAATTAATTAAGAAAAAAATTAGTTAATTAAATTAGTCGAAACCCTAAAATCTAAGTCGAGTTTAATTTAATTAAGAAAAAACCTAAAAATCAAATTAGGGTTGATTAAAACCTAAAACCTAAATTAGGGTTTATTAGAAAATATTTTGAAAAAAAGGTTTTGTAAAAGGTTAAAAAAGAGTGAGAAACATAGACAATGACCAAAAGAGTAGGGGTGGGTGTTGAACCCACGCCCTCAAGCATTCTTCACGCATAGTTTACCACCAGGCCAAGCGCTGGTTGATGTCAAGATAACAAGTTCATTGCATTATATGATAACCCTGCAAAATAATGAAAATATGAATTTTTTTGGCAAAACCGGGGATCGAACCTGTGACTTGGGAGAGAAATGACTTAGCGCGCACGTTTCTACCACTTGGGTGGCTATACATTCGTTTACATAATTGAATCAATTAATATATAATATATAATATATAAGCGAATGTATTAACCGGAGAGGCGTCGGAGCCCTAACTCCGGTCGTCTTCTCTGGTAGCTTCCTTTCATCCAACCTGCAAAACACAAAGTGTTAATGATCCAAACACATCCTACCCCCTAATCAAGGGTTATGAATTCAATGGGATAATTATTTTGGGCTAAAACTCAATGGTTTGGCTGCTATAATGAAAACGGTGCAAATCGGAGCAAACATGGTGATTTAAGATTTAGCATGCACGAGACTTCCACGATGGTCCAGATCTACATAGTTAAGCGTCATAAACACATATAAAGCATTAATAAGTGTTAGAATGCAGTAAAACAAAAAAAATACGAAACTCAAACAAGAATGATATCATGATGCATGCATAAGCGTTTTCTGACCATTTGGATCGTTGTAAACGATCCAATCTTACCCTAGGAGTGAATATAGTTGATTGAGATTGCAAGTTTGTGGTGAAAGACAATGTAATAAGGGTTTGAAAATTTTAGGGATCTTTGAAAAAGTTTGGAAAATTTGACAAGTTTGAGAGGCCAGGTTTTTGTGTCCTCTTGTATGAGAATTGCTGAGATTATATAAGAGAAATTAGGGCAAAAGTAATGGGCTTGGTGTTTGTAAGAAATGCATATGTATTTATTTTATTTATTTTACATTATTAATGAATAAATAAAAAATAATTAAAATAATTAAAATAAAAAGTTCAAAGGGTGTAAGAATAAGGTTTGAGGTGTATGAGGAGTATAATACACGTTTGGACTCTTAGACCATGGCCCAATAGCCCAAAATATCAAGCTTGCTTAATTTGAACTTCAAGCATTTGCTCAAAATTTCCCAACTTGCAATGGTCATAACTCTCTCAATTTTGATCTTTTGAAGGTGATCTTGGACTTTTTGGAAAGCTCAAGATGTCCTACATAATCTCTATGTTGGTTGTTTTTTCCTTTGAATAATTTATATTGATGTAAGTTACCTTGACAAAAAGTGTCTTTTTGTTGACTTTTGAAATGACCTGTAATGTTTTGGCTTATATCTCTCAAATGATACATTTTTTAGACTTGAGCTTAGATAGAAAAAGTTGTAGAGAATTGAATTTAATTCAAAATAAGGTTTGGTTGGGGAAAAGATGATGAAGCATGTGAAAGTTATGCCTGGTCAAAGTTCAGTTGACTTCTTCAAAGGAAACCCTAATTTCGCAACTTTTGACTTTTGATAATTTTAGGGCTTTTCTTGAGGAATCATGATAAACCCTTGATCAAATGATGGATATAACTTCAAAATGTTGATGTTGACCAAAAATATTGAAGTTTGATTGTATGTTGACCACACTTGACTTTATACCCAATACATTTAATTTTTAGTCATCTGAGCCATTGACTGAGCAAACTTGTGATGCAAGGCTTGGAACTTGACACGAGAATTCTTAGGGACCTATTAAGAACCATGAAAGCCAATTGAGACCTTGGAAACTCAAATTTCCTTGAGAAATATAAATCCCTAATTGTGGATCCATTTCTTAGAAGGAGAATTTGTATGATCAATTCTTGAGCAACCTTGAGCAAATTAGGACCTCAAGAGAATGTCTTAAAGAAGAATGGGAGGGAAAATTTTGTGGTACAACAAATTCCCCTGTTCAATCTT